TTAATTAATTAGTTAAGGTTTAGGGTTTCAGGCTTTAGAGCTTAGGGGTCCCTAAACCCTAAACCCTAAACCCTTTCCTTTTGCTGCAGTCGCTGAAGGTTGTCTGGCTGCCTAGACAAAAGGAGGCAGTCATACCAGGGTGCGCCGGAAACCCCCCTAATATTAAAACCAAACCACCGAAATCCAGGTTTAATATTGGGGAGCGGGGGGGGGGGAGGGGGGCGTTTAATATTACGGGGAAGAGATTATTGCACACGACATCCGTACAACGCCATAACGAATATGTGTACCGGAGAGCAAACGAAGGTGTGAAGGAGATGGTCGAAAAATCAGACCGGTAACTGAAGTTCTGGAACAACGCCGCCTGAAATTGTTGGGTCATGTGCTTCGTAGGGATAGACAACATCCGATGCATCTATCAGCATTCAAGACGCAATCTGCTATACCAAGGGAAACCGAGCAACGTAGGGTTGGTCGCCCGAGACGGTTCTGGACAACTGCGAACATGCAAAAGGCATGGAACGTCATCAAAGTTTATGACGGAACAACTCCTGACTTGACTTTCAATAAGCACAACAGAAATCTGAGAGAAAAACTGATTGATCACGCGCGAAGATACCTCCCGCCGTTCAACGAGGAAATCACCCGGACGGCTTTTTCGCGCAATGTAAGCCAACTCAGTGTGAAGCAACTCAGTGTGAAGCATCACTTTTGTGATGCAGCGTGGACACGTTAAAAATACAACAATCGGATGTACGAAACATGAGATCTCAATGTGAACTGCTCAGTGTAAACGGCTCAGTGTGAATAGGGCTGTCACTTTTAAGTGAGGACTACAGAATCGAAGAACATAATGTTCAATGATCAGATAAAACTGACCAGAGTGAGCTGCAGCATGAATAAGGAAGTAGATTAGCACCGACGACTTGCGCACTCACCTGGCTGCAAGTTAAGGTGATGAAAAAAGCCTCCGCTTACTCTAGAACCTCGTCTTCCATTTCGGTGTTGGAACTGGTCTCAGGCGACTGAGAGTTCGTGCGCATGTCAATGTCGATTTCTGCCCCCTGTTAACGCAACGTCACGATTGACGTTCGGACTCTCCCTAGCTTGGCTTGTATTGGGTCTTTTGCCTGTGTGACCTATGACTTCGTTCCACCTTGACTCCGGTGACATCGAACGATGCCCTGGAACGACTGCCGTTCCTGACGACTGCCGTTCAGTCTCTGAGTTTCTAACAGGGTGCGGACGGTTGCATCATCAGTGCCAGGCCTCATGTCACAAGCGGTTGCTTGTTCTCCAAGATTGTCCTCTACTTCTGGGTGGACTGGCGGCAGACTGTCCTGGGACGCCCTGAAGCGAGAGACCTTAGTGGAAGCCGTGCACGCTTCCGGATCACAAGCTGGACTAGCGGCCACCAGGCACGCAGCAAATCTGGCCGCTTGTTCGAAATCTTCAGAAGAGATAGCCTTCATCACCTGTGGAGTGCAACATGAGCGACATGAGGCTCACTTGGTGGGCAAATTGACACCATTTCATTCAAAACTGACTGTCAGACACAGCCCAAAGATTCCTACAGAGACTGCCAGTGCAACTGAATAACAAGTTCAAGCCGGCAACCAAAAAGCCAAACTGTTCGTTCGGTCGATACAGAGAAGAGAAGCTTTCGTAATGTCGCAATTGAAGAAATCACGTTCAGTTTTGAAGCTTCGGGTTTACGGGTTTAGCCTAGCGTTCAGGACGTCGAGCATCGATAGCCCTAGGGCTACATCGCGAGCGACTTCCGGTAGACAAACGGACAGCAACTGGATAGCAGCTGCACGAAAATGTGAACAAACATGCTCGGAGCATCGAATGCGGATCAATTAAACTGGAATGGGGTGGGAAGTTAGAAGTCTGACCCGAGTCATAACCCAACCCTCGTTTGCGGGCCCCCTCTGCCTTCTCTCGGCACACATGTGGCTCGCGAGGCGGTCGCAGTGGTCATTAGCAACACTGTCAGAGTGTGATGACCTGTAGGGCGCAAGAGGACCGCATGTCGGTCCTCTTCCTGCACGAGCGCCCTCGCCCTGGCCCCGTCCACGGCAACATCACCCCGCGAATGCTCGGCGCCCACAGTCTTCGAGGCTTCCTCATGGCAGCACCGGCGCCCGCAGCCTTGTCCATGGCAGCGTCATACCGGACGCTCGGCACCCACAGCCCCGCGCCCGTGCCACGGCAGCAACGTTGGCCCCGTCCCCACTCGGCACCCCCAGCTCCCCCGTCCACGGCAGAAGTGAACGCTCCCCCGTGGGAAGGAAAGACCAAACAAGAGCCCAACCCCCGAGGGCATTTTGGTAAAAATCAATGATGGCAGTACATCTTGTGTCCTCGCCTGCTTCTGCTCACTATGCTCACTGTACGTTAAGAAAAAACAGTGGAAGTTCGCAACGAAGCCAGACAAGTAGAACAACGGCATAATTGGTCTGCTACCACATCCGCAATGCTGGGACTTGGAGTCAGTGCAATGCGAAAGCAAACAGCCCTAGACCCGCCCGATTCCGATCGTGAATCTCGTAGCGATCCAGCAAATTTCAGCGGGCCTAGAGGCGGCGAGCGATGCTGCGTATGAAAATCGGCGGAATTCGGACGGTCGCGAGCGCAACCGTGGAACTTGTGGAACAAGGATTCTTAAAAGGCACCAACAGAAGCGCAGCAGATTTGCAGCAACACTGGCAGTGGGAGAAGAGAGGCATGGGAAGCACGCACCTGATCTGCGCATTCGCGCAGCTCGAGCAGGTCGTCCACGAGTTTCAATGCCTTTGCGAGTGCGTCAATTCAGATCGTGCACAAAAGAATCAAAGCATGAAGGCATCGGGCATCGGATACCCGGCTGCAAACCACGTCCAACTTCCGCACACGGAAGCTAAGTTCATCAGCAACACCGGACCTGAGCGTATGCGCACACACACATGCACACACTGCAGGCACGAAAGCTTTCTTAGGTTCATGCGTCTGTTGCAAAGTTTCCTGGAGCTTGCGGATTGCGGCTGGCACCTACTGAGCTCAAAAATTGACTCATCATGATTTCGCAAAGCTACTGCCAATTGATCTTAACTGCTCATGGCCTGCTTGTGCTGTTCACCCAGGAATGCCAGGCTTCGGCTTTCACTCTGACCTCGATGCGGGCTCCATATGTGGCACAGCAAACCACAGGACCGTTGGGCAAGAACACGACCACTTGAAGGACTGGCAAATGATGGATGGAATGGAGGTATATTGCAGTCATCGGCGCACCAAAACCAAGCTGCAACATCAAGAAACTTGAGAGCCACGGGCTGGGACGAAAGCTCTAGGATGGGCAGGGCTGGCGACACGGAGCTCACACGAAGAGACACAGAAGTGACTTTCGGTTGCGGTCAAGTTCGCCAAGCGCAAACAGCGACACTGACAAATGCCAAGTTTGAGCTTGCCTCTCGCTGCTGCTGCCATTACAGACAAGGGTTTGTAGTGTCATCACCGCATGGCTGAGGATCGGTTTTGATGGCAGGAGCAAGCCCG